CAAATAAATTAAAATTAAATAAAAAATAAGTACAAATATATACATTTATAAAATGTTTATTTTACTTAAAGTAAAATAAAGCCTTTTTGAAATGTGAATATTCATGACAATTAAGTACATTTCTCTAATTCTTCTTTCCATAATGTTATAAATAAAATAAAATACAATAAAATAAATATTCATAATCATTAATACAATGTGAAGAATAGTGACATATTTCCGTATTTATGAACCATGGTAGTACCTACTGTATTACCTTTATAAAAATTAAAAAAAGTTACAAAGATCAATTTTTTTTGGTACATGCGGAAATGAAAATGTACACTAAACATACAAATAGATATATAAAATATATATAATTATATCATAAATTGGCACTGAATAAGTATAAGAAAATATTACTTTTATATATCAAAACATTAAAACATATACATTAATGAATATAGCAATATATTAAATATTTCAAAAAAAAAAAAGAACAGTGCATTACTATAATTTTGGGGGAAAATGTGCTTAATTATTCTAAACATGTCAATTAAAAAAAACTAATATATAACTAATAACTAATGGTCCTAAAATGGGCTTCATATTCATTATGTAGAATATTTATTTTCTATTTTGGGGTGACATGTTTCCTTCAGATTTAGAAGCTACTTAGTCCTATAAGATTGGTACTGGTCATCACTGACCCATAACGGTTAACCACTATCACTAAATTTCCAAAAGCCAGCATTCAGAAACTAGCCATGAAAGCAAATGTTTCGCACTGGATGCACCATATGGTAAAGCCTTATTCTGCTATCTTGTTCCTCTGTGTCCTCAAATCTGCAGAGAGGGTTTTAGTCATCAATTGCCAAATGTCTGTGCCAAGTATGTTTGTGTGTGAGCGCGTGTGTCTGTTTTAAGAGTCCTCTGTACTAATAGAGGTTAATGTGAGTGACCAGATGACCAGCTGTCCCTCTCCAAAATGAAGGACAAGCTTCTCTCCTCTTCCCTGAAACAAATTCCACTCACACAGCTGCTAACTAACTAACTAACAGACAGAGGAGAAAAGTGCACCTAAACTAAAGAGCATGCATGAAATCTGACACAAACACACATGAAACAGTGTAGGAGAGCGGATAACTAGGAGACAGATATCACAAGACTACTCAAAAGTTAAAGTGATGACTCAGTGAAGAACGTACTGAAACAACCCTTGAAGAATCTCAATTTACATTTTAAAGGAGGACAGATGTTGATCTACCTGTTGTCCTGCTATAATATAGAGTTTGGCCAAAAAAAAGAGCAAATCTAAAAAAAATTTCATAATAAACAAGTTGTTCTTTAATTTGACCAATTACAAAGTTCTAAATGTCTTATATGTTATTAATCAGCTACCAATAATTGTCTTGTACTATTAGTTCAACTGAATACATAATACAGAAATATATAATACATGTATAGATTTTTGTGTATATAAGATTATAAGATACATTTGTGAATATATATATATATACATATATCTATATCTATCTATCTATCTATATCAATTTATCTCAATTTATATATATATATATATATATATATATATATATAAAACACCTGAGAAGAGATGATGCCAACCCCTCAGAGGACCTCAGATGATGCCAACCCTG